GGGGGGGGACGGGGACGGACGCTGGGGGTGTGTGAGAGCAGCTTTGGGGGCCGAGCTGGGCGCTGCGCGTCGCTCCGGGTCAGGGGTTTAGCGGCGTTCTGGGTTTAAAAAAGAGACTTTGAACATCTCTGAGGCAGGCAGGGGGACGTCCTTCGGGTGGTTCGGGAGGCGTAGGGCAGAGGTGCCGTGGTTGTATTGCTAACACCTTAAACAAAAAGTTCATTTAGAAAGACAAACAAACTTTTCTGCTGTTAGTTTTTCTGATGCTGTGTGCGGTGCCCCCAAATTCACGGATATTCCATCTGTAATGGTGACTTGTTTTTCAGAAGGCACCCAGGCGGGTGGGAAAGTGAAGGACTAAGGAGAAAAAGGATTTAAAAACGCTTTCCCTGTTGGGCACCGCTGGTTTGCTTCTGTGATTAGCTTGTACCTGTGGGAGGGACGCCTGGAGAGCAGGTTGGCACTCCCTCGCTGGAGCCTCACGGGCAAAGTCCTCCCCAGGCCACTTCCAACAACTGGGGACTTTAGGGCCTGCAGTCACAGGCTAAGGAGGAGTTTGATCCCATGGTGATAATCCCTGGTTTGCTGCTTCCCCCCAGGTGCCAGGTTGCCCAAGCATGGCTGCCCAGATGTTCGAGGGGAGAGGGCATGCGGCTGTCTACCAGAAATACAGGTTTGCGCCGGGCAAAGAGCTGCAGCAAACCATCCTTGCCTACCTGCAGGAAAAGGTGAGTGGGGTATGACCAGGCTGTAGAGAAAAACCAAGATAGTAGTATTTACCCTGCTGGGAGTGTTACCTTGGTGCTACGGGGAAGAATAAATCAGTAGGGCTCGGGGCAAGATGTGGGCACAGAAAAGTTTTTCTACAGGTTGTTCTATGCTGAGGCGGTTCCTGTGTGGATGCTGGGAGAAGGAATGGGGTAAAAGCACAGAAATTGGGTGGCTGCCCACTGAGATGCATCCATTCCTCCCTGCAGAGAGTAGACCCTGCTGAGCTGGTGGTGGATGTCGGCTGCGGGTCTGGACAAGGCACCCGCTTCCTTGCAGAGCACTTCAAGAAGGTGGTGGGAACAGACATCAGCGAAGCGCAGATCCAGGAGGCCAGGGATGCCCCTTCCCTGCCCAGCGTCTCCTACCTGTGAGTGTCCAGGGAGCAAGCTCAGCCAAAGGAAAAATTCGGGTCCTCACACAGAGGTGATGTTTTGCGAGTATGGTTGTTGAAGAGCCAGCTGGCACCAAAGAAAATAGCATTTGATGGTATTCCTGGTGTGTCTGGGCATTATCCTAGACACATAGTAGCCATGGTCTTGCATCCCAAACAGTCATTATCGACTCTGAAGAATAACTACTGACTTCACATCCTACTCTCTAATTACTATATTACACACTGTCTTTTTTCCTTCCCCCCCCCCCCTCCAGTGTGTGCCCTGCAGAGGAGCTGCCATTTGAGGATGCCTCAGTGGACATCCTGACTTCATTTACAGCCGCGCACTGGTTTGATATTGATAAGTTCATGAGGGAAGCAAACCGGGTGGTTAAGCCAGGTGGCTGTGTGGTCATCAGCACCTACACCATGGACATGAGTCTGCGCTACGGAAATTGCTCTGAAAAGCTGACCAAAATCTTCAGAGAGGTGAGGTGATGAAACCTAAATCTAGCGGCTTCCTATCCTGGTCTGGGCAGGGGGACATACTTGGATGAAGCTGGGAAAGTGATGGGATTGGGCAGTATGACTAGAGGACTCTTATGAGAGGATGGGGCAGAGGGATGGTTAAGTACAGGGACAAGGTTGAGATGGGGTTTAGTGGCTCCCGTGCGGTGCTAGGGCTGGCTGAATGAGAAGAGGAGCAACATTAAGATTAACAGGGCAGGCTCTGGTGTGGAGAGGAGAGCTGTGGAGCCGATGTGTAGGGGGCTGGTATCATCACCGAGACTCTTCCTGTCACCCCGATCACAGTGAAAATAATGGGAAGTAGAAACTTTGGGAAGAGGCTTTCTTAGTGGTGTTTCTTGACAAAGTGTTATACCAACTCGCTAAAAGGAGGCCTTTCACTACGAGTGACAGCAGCTTAGAGAAGAGGACAGGACCCTTGTATCTGTAATAAAATAGGATGCTTGAATTCTTGACACTGAGCAAGATTTTTGGTGAATTTTAATGCAAGGAGCATTTTTTAAAAAAACTAGTATGTGTATGAATGCATCAGATCTAGGGCCAAGTAAACCTGAGTTTAGTGGAAATAAAGAGCTTCAAGTGGTTTTGTGTTTTTGTTTTTTTTTTTTTAATCTGCTGTCTTTACAGGCCTGGGACCCACTTCTAAAATACTCGCATAATAGAGTAAAACATGTCTTGGAAGACTACAAAGAGATCTTTGAGGCCTTGCCATTCCCAGACAAGAAGAGGTGAGCAGAAACCCCTTGATGCAGCACCAGGAGCAGATAAAGGCAGCGTCTCTGCTGCTCTGCCACTGGCCCAGTGAGGACACAAGGGAGCCGGGTTTGCTGGACCACATAGCTGCCAGGTTTCAGCAAATGCATTTGCATGGTGGCAGAACCATGTAGCTGCAATCCCAGTCCTGTTGGAGTTAATGTAGCTCTATGCTGGCCCAGCAAGCGTGGTCTAAAGACTGCAAGGACCCTTCCTGCTCGAGGCAGGCTTGGGTTAGATTTATTTTTTTTTAATTGGTGGTTTGTAATAATTTGAGGCTTCTGGGCAGATCACTTAGTGCATGAAGGGGAAGAATGGAGGGAGAGAAAGAACCTGCCCCAGACCTCCAGGGAGCCAGTGCCTGCCTCTCCAGCAAGGCATGGGGCAGGGGCTGACTCCGCAGGCAAAAAGGATGTGTTGGCCAGTGGTGTTGCAGAGGTGTTGGTGTCCCGAATGCTGGATGGGGGAGATGAGCTCTGCAGGTAGGCCTGTATCAGAAGGGCTGTTCAAGTCACAGACTATGGTGACTAATGGTCACTGTGACTAATCTGCTTTTCTAGTAGTGCATCAATCAGAGCTCCTGACCCACCAAGTGGTACAATTGGATGTTGTGTCCATCTGTTGGACGTTTGGTGTCAGGTGTTTTATTTGCCACCACCTCAGTCTGTTGTCCTTGTTCCGCTACCTTTGAGATTTAACTTGCCGATGCTCCTTTCTTCCCCATCTCCCTTCTAGAATCACTGATATCTTTGACAAAATTCCCATGACTGTTGCTGGTGTGGTTGGTTACTTGGAGTCTGTCTCTCCATATCAAGTTCTCATGAAGAATGACCCCGAAGCTGCAAAATCCCTTCTCCAAGACACTGAAAAGAGGTAAGAAAACCGCTTGGGAAAACAAGTAGGACATGAGAGACCCCTGTTACACAGTGAATGAAGAGTGAGGTTGTGGAGACCTCTTCAAAGCTAGAAGTGAGCTGTGCAGCAATATGTTCCTGCCAGGTGTGGATGGGATACTTGTCACAGAGGTTAAAACAGCAGATCCTCAGCTGCTCATAGCATGACTGTCCTCGGTTTGTGTTAGTTGACTTAATGTTTAAGTCCATGTAGCTGTATGGAGTTCTTGCACTGATGTATCCATGTAAGTCTCGTGTCAAAGGTCTCTTGAGTTTCTCTGCCTTGCTCTTGATTAGCAGAGCGTAATATTGATAGCTGCATCTTAACCAAGCCATTTTGGCCCACAACAAGGGCCAGCTGCAAAGCCATGAGGGGGAAGCATCCCTGTGCCTGCTAACTTCTTCATTGACCAGAACAACTGTTGTGCATGTGTTAGAAACATCTGCCATCAAGACCTTGGTGCTTTGGGTGGAAGAGACATGTCTCTGGTCATGCATGTTGCCCTCTGCTTTTTGTTTCAGGATGCTGGAGACGATGGGAGTTTCTTCTCGTGAAACCCCAGTGGAGTTCTGGGTGAGGCATGTCTGTGTAATGGGGTGCAAGGGACGGTGAGAGGAAAAGCTGCCTTCTGATCTGGTGCTGGAAGGGAAGAAAAAAGTGGGCTGCCTCCTAATACCCCACTTGTAACCATTTTTATTCCTTGGGAAGACTGCTGATTTTGGTGATTAAAATTTTGATCTTCTGTGGAAAGCAGACATGAGGTTTTGCCTGCTCTTGGCTTCCTGTCTGCATTGGTCCCCCAGTCTGCTCAGTGCTGTGCCCTCAGCACTGAAAGGGTCCAGTTTCACGCTGATGGCAGTTGGATTGCACATGAGGATGAGAATCACAGTAACAGCTGAGAAACTTTGCTGCATTTCTTACACAATAATAAAAGCTGAGAAAAAGTTGCTTGTGGTTGCTCTTTTTAAGATGCAGGAGGAGATGCACCTCTTTTTAAGATGCAGAGGAGATGCACCTCCTCTTCATGGACACTGCTCACCTGGGCTCTGAGTGGCCTTCTGTTTCATGGGGTGGATGGGTTTTAGGTAGAAAGGGCCATTTGCCTCTTTCCATGCCAAGATTAAGCTGGGAGCTGTGTGCTGTCTGTGAAGGTCAAGATGGAAAGAGGCTGTTCGTGCCCACCATCTGACCCCATCCCTGGTGTTTTGCTGGCTGGCACAGGTGCATTGGCAGTTTATCTACCCCAGGTTTGCCCAGTCTTGTGGCAGTGCTGCTGCTTTGGCCCTCACAAGGTTACTTGCCCCTAGCACAGCTCCGAAGCCTTCCTGAGACTGCTGCAGCAGGGGAGCAGGTTTGTGCTCCCCTTGGTCCAGGCCTGTTATTCCTCACCTGTCCTGCAGAGGCAAGATTAATGGCTGTGTTTTGGGGTGGGGCAGATGGAGGCCAAGGGATTCGAAGCCAGGTGTAGGCCAGCAAAGGTGCCCTCTTATTTACTTTCTGCAGACTTTAAGTTCAGGCACAGCCTCTGGAAGGACCTTTCCCTTTCCTGTAACTCTCTGCCCTGGCAAGAAGGATGTCCTGATGCAGTGGAGAAGGCTGGGGCCTCACTGTTACACCTTGGTGCATTATTAAGGAAGACAGAAGCAATGCCTGTGCAACCCACCATAGAGAGAGCACCTGAAGGAGCTCCTTATAGGAGCTGGAGGTGCTTCAGCGGGGGTTCTTGTGTATGGTCTTGCCATGGGTGCAGAGACAGTGTCATTGATCTAGCAGAGGTGTTTGACCCTGGACTTTGGGGTCACCGAGTACTGGCTCAGCTTGCCTAGGGTGGGGAGCAAACGCTTTGACCCTGCTTGGTGGCTCACAGGAGGGTGGTGGGGTTGCAGGAGGACAGCTGTGGGGAGGAAAGCCCGGTGCTGATGCTAGGCTGGTCTATGCATCCATGGCCATGTGATGGAGAAGACCTCATCAAGTGGTGATGCTGGATTAAGCTCTGCTCTGGAGATCACTGGTAAAGAGGGTGCACTGGGTGCAGGTTGTGGTTGGGTGAGGACAGGGCTGGTGGCTTGTCATCTCCTGAAGGAGCGCTAGAGGTCTCTCCCTGCCTGAGACTGCATCTGGTGACACAACTGGGAGGCAGGTGGCCTGTACAGCTGCCTCAGCTGGGGAATACCCAGCTCGACTGGCAGGGCTTGTCCCATCGAGGTACATCCCCGCAGCGGTGCCCTGGGCAGGGAAATGTCCCCAGGCAGGGGACACCCCATGTACCAGCACAAAGGTTCTGGGGAAAAAGTGCCTGTCTGTTTTATTTCCTCACTTCAAATTTAAAAGTTTATTTAAATCTGCTTACTAATTAATTTTGCAATTAGTGGCCCTTCCTTCCCTGGTGTCAGCAGGATGCTTGGTGTGTCCCCTGGGATGATGCAGTGGGTGACCGGCTGTGAGGTAACACCGGGGATTGCATCACCAACGTGTTCGGGCACAGCGCTGGCAGCGCGAGGCATGCAGAGTGGCACAAACCAGCCCAGCACCGCGGCGGCGGCTGCTGCAGCTTGCGTGTGCCAAGAGGCAGCGAAGAGTTCTGGGGCTGGCAGCAATTAAGTGACCTGGACACACCAGGATGGTGGGGATGGGTCTGGTGACAGCTGCCAAGTGAACACCACATGATATCCCCTGCCCCAGCACCACTGGGCGATGGGCAGGGCTCCCGCACATAACCCAGGATTTTTATTTTTAAAGCTGGGGGTTTGGGGGCACTTTTTTGGTTCTTTTTATCTTCTTTTCCAAGACCAGCTACTTTAGCAGGAGCCAGTTGCTCCCAGATGAGCCCACCAGCTCCAAAAGGGGTCGGGAAGGAGTAATCTGGGCTCGTCCTTACCCACTCCAGTGGCATGGCTTGTGGCCAAGGCTTTTCCATGTTTGTGCCACGTGGTGGCCGATGAGTCATGGGGTGGTTGCCTCACCTGGTGCCAGTGACAACCCTGCCCTGCTGTTTTCGCTTTCCTTCTCACACCCAGGGCTTCCCCCACACCTGGGATTTTTTACTCCAAGCAAGTTCAAGTTGCTCCAACTCACTGGGCCATGCAAATCCGAGGAGGGGGCTCCACCGTCATCAGCTGCGCCACGTTCTCAGCTCAGGGCTGGGACCTGCTGGGGCTGGAGCAATGTCTGCAGCGGGTCCCCAGTGCTCTGCAGACCTTGCTGGGCACGGCGCAGCATCGCCAGCCAGTGCCGACTTTAGGGGACCCTCCACTGTTGTGGCAGGAGCTGGCACTAGCGTGGTTTGGAAGAGCGATGCTGAATGCAGCCAGGTTTTGCTGGCCAGGCTGGGGACCAGGGTATGGTGGAGCATGGCACTGCCGTGCGAGAGACTTGCCAGCATGCCGATGCCCAGGATGACAAGACCACATCCTGTCATGGAAAAGCCCTTGCTGCTGCTCAGCCAGAGACCAACGGGCTTGGCTATGGCTGGTGGCAAGTGAGGCGCCCAGGAGCAAGGTGCCCAAGAGACCTTCAAGCCTTCATCACAGCCTCCCTAAGTGCGTGGCGCCAGCTCCCCGGCTCGGCTTTCACTTTTCCTTTGGTGCCTCGAGATCTCCTTTTCCCTGTGCAAAGAGATGAGGTTTTGCTTTACTTCTCCAAGAAGAAATGACACCCTGGAGATAAAAGCCGCAGCGACAGGGAAGAGGAGCCAAAGGAGGTGGGCCCCGCAGGGATGTGATGCTGCTCCGGGACCTGACGGGTGACCTGAGAGTGTTCCCAGTACTGTCCTTGGCTGGGGCCAGCCCCATGCAGGGCGATCTTCCAGCCCCGCTCTGGGAGCACAGGCTGTGGATGAGGCCATTCCGGCACAGCAGGCACTGGACATCACCATCTTGGTGCTGGGCATCACTGTTTGGGTGCTGGGAACCCTACTCCAGCACTGCTGGCAGCCACTGGAGATCCCAAAATGGGTGCCAAAACATCCCATCCTGGCTCGTACCTTGGTCTGGAGGAGGAAACACCCCATAGTGCCTGTTTCATGAAGTGGCCGGGCTCCACCTTAAGGCAGCACCAGGACCGCTGCTCCCTCCCCTCCCTCACCAGGGGCCACGTTTATTTTCACATCTGTCAGGATTTTCTGGGAAGGTGCTGGCTATTACAGCTGAGTTGTGCCTTGCTTGGGCAACGTATGTGAAATTATTTATGCTGGCTTGGGCTTTTATTTCATAGCAGTATTGATCGTGAACCTGTTGCATTGAATAAAAATCATTCTCCTAAATCTGTGCATTTCTTTCATGGGAGAGAAAGGAAAGACAGCACCGTCGTCCTGTTCATCGAGAGCACAGATGAAGGACCTGAACCCTGGTCAGGGCTCAGGCTTTTAATTACCAACCACGCACAACCTGCCGCAGCCAGGGAGGCTGGCACAGGAGCTCTGGGTGGCAGCCCAGTCCGGCAGCAACGCCTGTGACTTGCTGTGAAGGAAAACCCTGTGCCCACCATGCTATCAGGTTTTAGCACTGTGTTTTGCTGTCTTGGCTTTTCTCCAAGCTGTATCTCCGTCTGGTTCGGTCAAAGCTGAGATAGCCACTGCCCAAGCCACACTGCTCCCTGCCCGCCATCTCCGCTCCTCTTCATGTCCACTGTGGTTTTCCAGGAAAGACCTGAGCTCTCTGAGATGCTGCTGGGGCAGGGGAAGGGCTCAAGGAGGGTTGGACAGATCCTGCAGGTGAACAACCAGTCCTGCTTAACCTCTTCATTGATGATCTGGATGATAAGGCAGAGTGTACCCACAGCGTACCAGGTTCACAGATGACGCCAGACTGGGAGGAGAGGGTGACACACCAGAGGGTCGTGCTGACATCCAGAGGGACCTCAACAGGCTGGAGAAATGGGCTGATGTGAACCTCATGAAGTTCAACAAGAAGGGCAAAATCCTGCACCTGGGGAGGAACAACCCCAGGCATCAGGACATGCTTGGGGCTGCCCAGATAGAAAGCAGCTCAGCAGAAAAGGCCCTGCCTGCGGGTCCTGGTGGACACCAAGTTGAACATGAGCCAGAAATGTGCCCTTGTGCCAAAGGAGGTGAATGGTATCTAGGGCTGCGTTAGGAGGAGTGTTTCCAGCAGGCCGAGGGAGGTGATCCTTCCCCTCTAACTCAGCACTGGTGAGGCCAGCCCTGGAGTGCTGGGTCCAGTTCTGGGCTCCCCAGTGTGAGAGAGACATGGACATACTGGTAAGAGTCCAACAAAGGGCTATGAAGATGATGAAAGGACTGGACCATCTCTCCTACGAAGAAGGGTTGAGAGAGCTGGAGCTGTTCAGCCTGGAGAAGAGGATGGCTCAGGGACTTTTGGTGGTGCCTGCTGACAAGTGAGCAGATAATGGGCACAACCTGAAACACGTGAAAGTCCATCTGACCGCAAGAAAACACTTTTTTTACTGTGAGGGTGGTCAAACACTGGAACAGGTTGTCCAGAGAGGCCGTGGAGTTTCCATCCTTGGAGATAGTCAAAACTGGACAACGTCCTGGGCAACCTGCTCCAGCTGACCCTGCTTGAGCAGGGGTTGGACCAGACAACATCCAGAGGTCCCAGCCCACCTCCACCACTCAGCACAGAATGTCCTTGCTGGTCTGCCTACTCATAGGTGTATCTTTCCACAACCTTGTGCAAGAACTTTTCTCGTTTGCTTGGACTCCTTGAAGTCAGCAGTTTATTTCCAAATACGAACATTGAAAAAATTGGGTCTTTCTGGAGCAGTGTTCTTCTATGGCCACCACGTGAGGCACCGCAAAGTGCATTTATGCTTGTTGCTGCCTTACTGTGTATTTCCCTTTGAGATACAGGTATTGCCCTAATTTTCTATATTTAATGCTTGATGAATGCATGAAACTCAAAGCACAGTGATGATTGGTTCACGTCGCAGGAGGTTACCTTGGGGGAAGGACAGGTTTTGCTGAATGGGGCACCACTCCAGCTGTCAGGGGAGTGATGTCAATACATGATATTTGCATTTCCAGGTTACAGGGAGGAAACCCCAGTCAGCTTCAGCGGCTGGTGGGGGTGGCAGCCCTGCTCACCTCCGGCAACCTCCCTGCACAACCCTACATCCCACCTGGAAAATGCCAGGTGGAAGTGCTTCTTTTTTCACCCTTTTTCCTGCTTTTGTAGTGAGTCTGGTGCCTGAGGATAATACTGAGCCTCTGGATAATACCAAACAGCCTCTGCTTGGCTGCTGCTTTCCCCCCCTCCCTGCCAGGGCTGTTGCTCTGCGCTTTCCGTGGGGAAACTGAGGCACTGAGACCCTCCCGGCCACCCTGAGCCCGCTGTCCCCGTGCGACTGCATGCCTGGGGGTCTCCTGCAGCTTTCGGCGTGGTGCCGGGCTGGGTGGGTGGTGCTCAGGTTTCTCCGCACTTGCCAGCATCTCTGTGCCGCTCGATGTGGTAGCAGTGTCCCCCGGCCGGCTCCCTCGGAGGGGCGCATACTGAAGGCAGCCTGAGCATCCCCCTCCATCCCTGGGGCGTTGGGTGTGCTTGCCCCGTGGAGGTGGGTGGCAGGGCCAGTAGTGGGAGGTGCGTGTTTGCCCGCAACTGCCACACTTGCGGCAGCGGGAATCCCTCTTCTGCTTTCACTTTCCTCTTTCCAGAGCTGACAGCGTGCGGATTTTCCTGTCAACCTGAAAGCGCAGTCACACCGGGCAGGCAGAATAAAAGCCAGGGAGATGGGGCAGCGAGGCACACACAGGACAGGAGGCAAAGCAATTCTCTGGGATTGGTCACCAGCCCAACAACCCCACAGCCAAACGAGCCATCCGCGGCAACACCGTCAGGTATCTCTACATCAGGGATTTAGCGAATCCATCCCGGAGCACTCCAGTTCATCCTCGCGGGCTTCTTGCACTGCGTCTGCCTCACCCCATTATAACCTGCTCACCACCGAGCTCTCATTGGGAAAATGCTGCACCTCAGCTTCTTTCCACTGCTTGTGCTGCTGCTGGTGGCCACCCTCGGGGCTGCCTTCCCCAAGGATGCCCTGAAGAAGAGCTGCAGCCTGTTCAAATACCAGTTCCTCGTGCCCCACGAGCTGAAGGCCATGCAGAAAATGAAGGAGCAATTTGTGAGTACCGCTGGCAATGAGGGACTGTGGGCTGGCAGGGGGCAAGGCAGAGGGGATGCCAAATTCAAGACCGTGAATGTGGACAAGGTGGAAGTTTTCTGGGGAAGTTTGGGGATGAGGAGAATGTTTTCCAAGGGAGTTTGGGGACAAGAAGGATGCTGGGCCAAATTTCATCCTGGTTTCAAACTCCTCAAGGCTGACTGGGGTTGCCCAACATCACCAAAAGTCAAGATGACAGTTTTTTTCCCTCTTGGTTTATGTCTGCAGGAGGACATCATGCTGCTGTCAGATCGCAAATGCAACACCAGGGTCTTCCATCGGAAATGGAGCCCGGCGGAGCTGTCGGTAAGAGCAAGACAATGCTGTAAAAAGGGGGTACACCCGCCCCTCCAGCCGGGAACCCCATCAGCTTGTCCCACCTTCATCTGCACCACCGGGCAGGTCTTTGAGACCCCCATCCTCCAGCCCACAGCCAGCCCTGGGGCTTTGGGTCCCTAACCAGTATGTTCCCACTTGCAGGTGCCTGACCGAGTGATGCTGGTGGAAGCCGAGCTGGATCTCACCACCGCCATGCTGGCGCTCCCTGCCAACCCCAGCTTTACCGAGATGCGCCAGCAGCCCCTGGCCTTCCTCACCCAAGCCCAGGAGGACCTGCGAGGCTGCGTGAGTGTCCCCCCCCAGAACCCCCTGGCCCCATGCTGGCTCAGTGGCCCCGGTGCTGGTGTCAGCGCCACCGGGCACTGCTGATCCTTACACAGCCACTTTCCTTGCAGATGGCCATGGAGGCTCCTTCGCATCAGCCCTCCAGGAAACTGAGGCACTGGCTGCAGAAGCTGCAGACGGCCAAGAAAACAGTAAGTCAGGGCAGCGGGGCGAGGGGGTTTCGGGGTGTTAAGACATGGCACGGCTGCACAGGGCCTGCTGCACCCCATCTCCGGTGCTAACCTGCCCCTTCTCCCCGCTGCAGGAGACCACAGGCTGCCTGGAGGCCTCTGCCATCCTCCACCTCTTCCAAGTGCTGAACGACCTGCAATGCGCAGCCCTCCGGGACCAATGCACTTAGCCCCCGCTGGCAGCGTGGCTGGCACGGCACAGCACTCACCGGCCCCTAAGGATGCCCCGAGGACCGGGAAAAATGATATTTATTGCATTGCTGGGTTGTATTTCCTATTTAAGCATTTTTTTTATTTATGTGAACTCGGGGAGCAATTTTTTTCACAGTTTTTTAAGCTATTGGGGTTTATTGTGTATTTATAAATGGCTCAGGAGGATGTACAGAAATGCCATTCCTGAAAGATGCTGTTCAATAGGGATGAATGTATTTATTGGATAGCTTTGTTTTGCTGGTTTTCAAAACATTGACTATTTTTAAGGAAATATTTATTTTATTTACCTGCTATTTATTACAGAATATATTATGTATATCTGCCTGCATAAATTATTTTTTTACGTGCTATTTAATACGAAAAATAAAATAGATACCATAAACAGACAAGATGCTGTCATCTGTTTTTACTACATTTTGTTGTAATGTCATCCTTTCAGAAAAGCGAGTTATGGTGGGGGGTGAAGGAAGACATTGAGGCGAATTTTGAGCATTTGAAAATTAGCAAACCTTTGTCACTCGTGTTCATCCCCAGCTGGGATGTATCTGGGGGTCTATCCTGACTGACTTCCTGGGGTTTGCTCTCAGGGACAGATGGATGCTGTTGCGGCTGGGGGTGTCCCTGCCCTCTCAGGGACAGGAGCCTGCAGGCCATCCATTTCCAGGATGGAAGTCTGTGTTGGTTGGTGCACACCAGGGCATGAGGATCCTACAGCCTAACACGATGCTCACATCCTGGTACAGGCTGGGCAAGCCTCCAGGTTTGGTCATCCCAGGAGGTCTCAGAAGATCCCTGAATGAAGTAAGCACCAAACCAGAGGTCAGGACAAGAGAGGAGCAAGGGAAGGCAGACACCCAGTGGGGAGAGGAGCAAAAGGACCCATTAGCAGACCCAACTCTCATTCAATCTCTATTTCCTCAGGTCAGGGAGATGGTTCTTTGGAAACAGGATGCCAGGGGAGGGCCACCAGCAATGGTGGCTGTGTGTACGTGTGATGGCCACACCTGGGGACCACCCAAGGCCTGGGGACCCAAAAGGCGCAGGTTTTGGTGGCAGGAAGGAGAGGAGCTTAGGGTAGCCATCAGGCACTTGAGGCTGGGGTAATTCTACAGTTGCTGCTTTTAGGTTGCAGGGTTGGGGACTGAGCTGCCAGTGGCCAAGCCACAGCACAGCCACAGCGTCCCACAAAGAGACAGCTGGGGATGTGAGCCGTAAATGCTTGTCACAAAGCATATCCCAGGTACCTCTCACTCATCCTGCTCAGGCTTTGCAAGGACATTGTCAAAATGACACCTCGTTGCTGATAGGGAGGCAAAAAAGCTTTATTTTCTGTTATGTTTCCAAATAATGCTTTATACTAAGGTAGCCAGGCACTAAAGTGGGGAAATGCTGTTGTCTTTGTCTTTTGCAGCTGGATGTAACCTGCTTCTGCAGGAGTGATGGGCTCTGGCCGCTTGAGACACCCCTAAGCACGCGCCTTGAAGCAGATGCCTGCACGCTTGGGCCTTATCGACTTCAAGTGGGGAGGAAAGCGTGCCCTGAGGGGTGAGGGAAGCCTGTCCCGCTGCCGGCACGCCAACGCACACCACCCTGAGACTAGAAACGCCGGGGCAAGAGGCATTTCCACACTACATGGAGAGGCTTCGCTGGAAGAAGCCAGAGAGCCCCGGCAGTATGTCCGGTATTGCACATCGGCTCCTGTTTTTTGGTTAAAACAAGGCACAGCTCATCTCAAAAAAAACAGGCTGCAGCAATACTTTGCCTGTGTGGCCACATGCTCCCAGGAAAAGGCAGATGCCATCAGGGCCTGCTTTGGAGGGCTCCACCCCAATGTCTCCTCCTCCTGGCCCCGCTCGATGTTTCACCCCTCGGTTTTGAGGTCTTGCAAGAAATCCCTCTCTATGGGGCCTACATATAGCCAACATTTATGGGGAGAGGTTGTTTTTAAAGTGTTTCTGGCCAAAAGTGCTATGCTGCAATATCCAAATGAGATACAGATCTGGAGAGGAAAACCTAACGAGGGCAAGAGGTATCTATTTATCCCCCAAAATAGAGGTAGCAGCTGTCACGAAATGGCATGTGATGCCACGGCACCTGGCAGGAAGGCACAGGGCTGCCCGAGCATCCGTCTCCGGGGAAGGATATCGGGTCTATTCCCTAAGCACTAGCAGGGCCACAGTACAGCTCTCCTGAGCAGAAGGCGAGAACAGAAATCACTCCTGGGGAACAGCAGTCCCTCTTCATCTCCCTGCTGGGTTCACGAGACATCATGTCTGTTGTGGTGCTCCTCACTTTGCACGTCCTGCAAGGGCAGGAAAGGGCTGATACCTGCTCTGCTCCCCCCTCATGGCTGCCTTTGGCAGGTTAACCTCCTGGTATCTCCCACGCAAAGTGTAGTTCACTGCAAATTAAGGCTGGGGAGACTACTTTTGTTCTGTTGCCAGATGGCCCAGGCTTCAGAGATGGGGCAGCCAGGGTTCTTGGGGTGCTGATGGGGTTGGGGATGGAGCTGCAAGTGCCACAGCTGGTCAGCATCAGTCTAACATCCCTGCCAGCTTTTTGTAGCTCAGCAGGAGCCCCTCTGCTTCTTCTGGAGGGTGCTCACAGGTGGCCAAAAAGTGCTTTAGCTCTCTCTGCAGGTTCAGAAGAGGGGTGCTGGGAGGGCGACGCTGGGCAGTCAGAACCTTTCTGAACATCACCAAGCACCCGGCTTGTTAACGCAGAGGGATGTTAATGGCAGTTTCCCAGCCTCCCCAGGGACACGGACAGAGGCGTGCTCTTCCCTGTGATAATTTCAGTTCAGGCACAGAAACAGCAGAAGGAATGGCAGAAAGCCTTGGTTTTGCTGTGTCTCCGTATGGCCCTGGCGTTTGGGAGACACCTACTGTAGTTCCCACGCACACTCCGATCTCTAGCCCCAAGGGCAAAATTTACTGGAAAGAAACCCAAAGGGGTGGGTAGACAGATGCATGTTTAAACTGCAGTGGAGGGGAGCTTTTGGTGTGAAGCTCTGCTGGAAAATGATCGGGAAAGCGTTGAGGTAGACCAAGTGGTTGGAAAGGAGGATGAGGGCAAGGATGCGACTCCTGGAAAGGTCACCCCAGGTCAGCTGCTCATTTGTGATTTGTAGCATCGTGGAGAAAATACTGGTGTTGTGGAAGGGACTGAATTGTTGGGGGGTGAAACACAAAGGCAACTATGAGAAGACAGCTCTGTGGTTGCAGAGCACAAAACACACTGTGGCAGCGGTGATGGTGGCTCCGCTCTAGTGATCGAAGGGCAGAAGGTGTCAAAATCTTGTTTGCATTAAACTCTGCCCTTGTTGCTTCCAGCCTGGGCACCTATGCTGACTTAGGCAACCTTGTGGAATCCTGCAGGATGTAAATAAAATAGGTCCTTTGGTCTTTTGGGATTTGGCAGGTGTCTGGCTAAGGTAAGGCAGTAACAAACTCCCTGATTGCTGCTCCTTTCTGCTGCGGTTTTTGTACCACTTTCAACATCATTTAAAAGTCCTGGTCCTGCAATGGGCAACATGGCTAAGATGTACTGGTGAGACCTGTTTCATTTTCTCCCTCCAAGAACTGTTTATGCAGTGGAGTTTTATTTTGGCAGTGTCATTTTTATTTCGTGTATATACACAGCTTTGTGCTTTTATTGAATAAGCAGAATAAATGTCTACCAAATTACAGAAAAGGCAGCAGAGTTTGGTAGTTTTTCAGTTCAGCCTTCTTTACAGTGATGCCAAGTCGCAAAACCTCTGCAGCTTTGCAGAGAGTGTTGTCTAACACGCTGGAGGTGACAATTCTGCTGGCAAATCAAGAAAACCAGCAACTGAATTTTATTGATGGATCATGTTATACACTCCGGGGTCATAAACTTCTGCTCCAAACCCTCTGACCAGAATCCAGGTTGATAATATGTAAGGAATAAGTGTGGTCTCACCTGTTAGTGAGAGCATTTTTTGGGGATGTTTGGCACTCTGAGGAATAGGAAAATCAGTTGCTGCTAGTGTTATGGGAACGTACTGTTTGCTAATATGCTAGGTACTGGTGCTCTTGATGTTGTAATTTCTTCCCCCGTTTGGTGCTGTTCATAATTCAAAATAATAATTCCTGTCTCTCAGCAATCATACTGGGAATCATTTTGTGATGTTCCCGTGTTGCCATCCAGGGAGAGAGTGTTCAGTGAGATCCGCCTGCTTTTGATTTGCTCTGACAAAAAAGGTTATTTGAAAAATAACCTTCACTTTGAACTGCAAATGACTTCAGCTGCACATGTATGAGTGGCTGATGGGTTACTCATTTTAATTCAAAAAACAGGACTTTCGACTAGAGGAACAGGCCAAAAGATAGCTGTTGAAGGCTCTTGGGATGCCACACTGCTGCTTGAATTAGTAATGATTTGCTTGCTCTGCACTCCAGAAGTCTCATTTTGGCTGTCACCTCTGTAGCCGTGATTTGTGAGAGGCTGAGAGAGTTGGGGCTGTTCAGCCTGGAGAAGAGAAGGTTCTGGGGAGATCTTATTGCGGCCTCCCAGTACCTAAAAGGGGCCTACAGGAGAGCTGGGGAAGGACTTTTTACTATGGTGTATAGTGATAGGACGAGGGGGAATGGCTTTAAACTGGAAGAGGGCAGGATTAGATTAAACATGAGGAAGAAATTTTTCACTCTGAGGGAGATAAGGCACTGGAACAGGTTGCCCAAAGAGGTTGTTGAGGCCCCATCCCTGGAGGTGTTCAAGGCCAGGCTGGATGTGGCCTTGGGCAACCTGGTCTGGTGGGAGGTGTCCCTGTCTACGGCAGGGGGGGTGGAACTCAATGATCTTCAAGGTCCCTTCCAACCTAAACCATCCTATGATTCTATGATTGAACCATTTCCTCCGTCTCTGTAGAAATTCCCCCAACAACCCAGGTCCCCTGACTCTACTTTTGCACTCGTGGTCTGATAGAAGTGCTTGC